TGTAAATAAATAAATAAATAAATAAATAAGTAAATAAGCAAAGAAAAAAAAGGAGAAAAAGTTTCGAAGGACGGGCACTATTATCTTCCGCTTAGCGATGTCACGGAAATCCCACGTGAATATACGTATATACAAACACACGTACATACAAACCTGAGGGGGACATGTTAAGGAGGCAAAAAAATATTTTAAGTAAAAAACTACTTAAGTTAAACTTCTGTTTAACAGTAAAGGACACCCACAGGCGACAGAAGGGCAGCACGCGTCTCAGTGTCAATATCGTGTCAAGGTTTGCACCTCACGCGTCCTGCCGATGGGCTTGTGATCACGGGGTGTGGCCCAAATTTTAGTGATGTTACCTCTCAGTGAATCAATCATCCTCCATGGCTTCAGCCTCTGATCCTTCCCTGAGGAGTGGAAGATACAGAAGCAGGAAGGAACAGGCTGATGCCTTGAAGGGCTCCGAGACTTTTCTTTTTAAATCTTTATTTTTGAGAGAGAGAGACCGCGAGTGGGGGAGGGCAGAGAGAAAGGGAAACACAAATGCCAAAGCAGGCTCCAGGCTCTGAGCTGTCAGCACAGAGCCCGAAGCGGGGCTCGAACCCACAAACTGTGAGTTCATGACCTGAGCTGAAGTCAATGCTTAACCAACTGAGCCACCCAGGCACCCCAGTATTTTGGTTTCTAAATGTAAACTTTTTTGTTGAAGTATAGCATAAATAGATAAAGCAAAGTGCTCAAGTTATAACTATAGCTTGATGCATTTTCACAAAGACAGCACCCTGCTGAGACCAGCTCTCATGTGTCCTAATTACTTTTACTTCTTTTTAAGTACCTTTTTTTTTTAAATGTTTATTTGTTTTTGATAGATAGATAGAGCATGAGCAGGGGAGGGGCCGAGAGATGGAGAGACACAGAATCCGAAGCAGGCTCCAGGCTCCAAGCTGTCAGCACAGAGCCCGATGCGGGGCTCGAACCCACGAATTGTGAGTTCATGACCTGAGCCGAAGTCGGATGCCCAATGACTGAGCCCCCCAGGCGCCCGGAAGGGCTTCGACACTCTGAAAGTCAAACGCCTTGTGGGAATGACTGGCTGAACGGGCCTCACTCCTGGGAGCTGTGTAAAATGTGCTCTTAGGCGGCAAACCCCTTGCACACTGGGGACACCGGGCAAGAATCAGGAGAGTCGAGCACAAACAGAGTGACAAGTTAGCTCTGTTACATAGAACGTTCCAGAACCAGAAGGATCCGCTTCCCTAACACACTGGATAAATAAAACTGCTGCCCCACAAGAGCCACACACCGGAAACAAGGGGTCTCTCGGACTCTACAGAACATTTTCCTCTTCCTCCTGCGGGCCAGGGGAAGGGAGCCGGTTCATTCCCACCCGCTCCATCGCTCTTCCTGCCTCTTACGCACCCGCTGTGCCACACACGCTCAGGAGAGGCCTCCCGAGGAAGGACACGGAGAGCAGGACAGGGGCTGGACTGTCACGACAACAGCCGGCCTCCCTCAGCTGCCCACATGGAATCTTGAGAGAAGACTTCAGAGAATCTTTACTTGGATGTGTTCCGGACAAAAAAATGCTCTGCGGCTAACAGTGTTTAAACATAACTGGCCCATTCAATAACGTCAGAAACAGGGGTGCCCAGTGGGGGGG